AAGATTGTTGAAAACACAACTTTAATGGGGACTGAGACTTGCACACGTCAGCTCGTTCTTGATCAACACAACAAGTCACAATCTCATCATGGCTTAATAAAACTTCACCTTGTTAGTAAAAACCTCGGCAAAAGAAAAACTAAATCACTGTCGGGGTGGAAACTGAAATGTTGTAGGACCTTTGAAAAACTTACCATACGATGAGAAACTAGCACCAAAGCGTTACAGGTAATTAAGCACATGGTTTGGTTCACGACGTTTTCACAACGAAAGATTCGAAGATTCGAAACAAAATTGTTACTGCTGCTTCACCACTTTCCGTACATTTAGAAAACGGTACAACAGTTATATAGTGCCATAACTACCGGTAAAAACGAAACGCAAACTGTAGCAGTTATACATGGACAAGCAAAGAAGCCATAACTGTTCTAAATAGTAAGTTACGTCTTTGTTACGATGAGAATTAACCTTTAAGCCCCAATATCTACATACAAATTCTCCACACTGTTTTTGGTGATAATTTTATCAACTGTCCTAACCATTTCCCTTGATTGTGCTGATATTGTTAGGAGAAAGTTCATGTTGGTCACTCTTATGACTTATTAAAAGGGTTGAGTCATTTTACATCCCATTGATATGGCACATTTTGTCTATTTATTAAAGGGGCTACGTCATGGTCATCGGGTTATTACTGTTTTATGCCAATTCTGTGCTGAAGTCGTTACTTAGTACTTTTACCTATACACAAAAATGCGCCTTTAACTTTGAAGAAAATATAAATCAAGCAAATTTCATCAGAGAGCACTAACGAGAATACTTTACTTCTCTAGTGATTTTTGCTGGAATGGCATCGAAACTAAGTTTCAATCCACATACATCCTTGCCGTTCCTAGAAACAGACGACAGGAAACAGAATATAGTCTGAAATAACAAACCTGGACCGTTATTTTTAGAATTCAATAGCGCTTTATACTATTACTAAAAATAGGTCTTGTCACCTTAGACCCCCCGCGTCACTCAGACAAACTTTGCATTCTACTCCAAGGCTTTGTATGGGAAAGATACGTTTCCGACATGAAAACTGTTCATAAAATTCGCAGTTAGCGTTTTTAAAATGTTTTTTGAGCATAATTCCAATATATAAAAGGCCCTACTGCTATTGGGAGCAAAACCTGGTCCAGTAACTCAAATAAATGGTTAAAATCAGAAAATAAAGCGACTCGATCAAAGAAGGCTACTGAAATCGGATCCCTAGCTCTGTGTCTTAGGCAGAAAGCACCGCTATGCACTGAAACATGACATAACATTATTGGCTGTGTAATACTCCAAAACCGAAATTGCTAAAGAGAAAATCGAGTTGGGATGTGCTTCTCGCAGGCCTGTGACAGAATATCTAAGGTGAAAAGCACACCAATATTAGCACAAACCGGAAATTGTGTAAGTTTGTTCTGTTGTTGTGCGGCCAGGTAGACCATATGAATCCGCGACGAATACTTTAGTACTTTATATCCCGTAGTACTATAGCGTAACATAAGCACTCGAAAAAAAATTGAGGAACTTTTGCCTATAAATTTAACCAAATGCACCGTTTCACGCATAGCTATGAAGCCCTGTTCTCCACACATTTTAACATAATTTTACCCACAGCAAATATGACGCCGCACAAGAAATAAAACCACTCATCTGTACAGTTTTTTTCCACGTTTAACGCTGTCTTGGCACGAGTTGATTATTTTCAGGATATTTATTATTGAAACCAAGGTGGATTTTGTTTCGTTTAACGATAAACATCTTCAAAGACGACGAAAATTTGTTGCCGAACGTGACTTTCCCATACTAAACTCTTACACTGGTCAGGTTTTTATGTCTGAGTCACAGCAGGGACCAGAAATTTGTGACGTCATTAGTAGAAAGCGCTATTGATGCAAAGACAAACGATAGAAAATAGCGTGACATGACCCATTTTCAGTACACGTCTTGTTAATTTTTGCTTGCATAAATTTCACTGTTTATTACTGAAATGGATCATAACCAAAAAGTCACTGAACTCTTTACCTGACCAATAGTGTCAACCAGTAATTTAAGAACTTTTCCATCATGGACAAGACTATCTGTATATATTTGACCAATGTACTTTCTGCAACATTCAATATTTTAACGAATGAGACATTTAAGGTTCTGTTTCGCGGGGGAAGGGTACTTGGGTAAATTTTTGCTGGGTATGTGCCACTGGCCTCTCAGAACCCCTACCCCATCATAGTCTATTTTGTGACCAATTATAGACCCCCCTTCTCGGTCACTTTTGGGCAAATATGTATTTTTTTGAGATCCCAACTTAGCCACTTTCTATTTTTATGAACTGACCCATTTTCTTTTTCTTTTCTTTTTTTTTTTTTTAACCGAATGAAGAACACTTTAATTTTCACCTGCAGTACAAACATCCCGGTGCGTTTGCTACCCGTTATTATGAATACGTCTTACCCCAAAAAATCCGAAAATATGCGAACCCATTCTAGTAAATATATGAAAATGCGACCTCATTGTAGTCAATCCAGTTGTGAAAATGCGACCCCATCCAGCGTCACGTCCCCATTAGCCTTATACAAGGAAGTACCCCCCTCCCTCGAGTTCTGTTTGTAGTGTAGAAAGTGTTGTGAGTTTATACATGATACTTCTAACAAAATTAATTAAACACTGCTACAATACAGTTAACTCGTACAGACACAGTCGGATGCGACTAAAGGGACCGTCTTAGGCCCGGTTCAGACGCCGAACTTTTCATGAGCCGAACCTAATTCGAATTAAGGCCGACCGAATTATTTAGAACAGCTGAATTGCTTCAAACACGTCTTAATTTCGGCTGAACTAAGTTCAAAAGGCTAAAATGCTCATTTCGGTCAAACTGCTTACAAAATACGTAAAATAATATATGCATTAGGTTCGATACATAAAAGTTCGGCGTCTGATTCAAAGCCGTTCCAAAGTTGCTCCAAAGGCGAAATTCCCAGCCAGGGTTGGCGAAAAAAACGGCTGAGCTGTGTCAAATGGAACCAGGCGTTCCCACAGGTAGCCCAAGCTTACTATGAGAGCCCTGAACAACATTATCCTACTTAGCTAATTAATTATTCATACGACAAGAGTTATAAGACGTTGTATGAAAATTATCGGATTTCTACATAATTGAGTGAAACGTACATTAAATTTTTCCTTTTAGTATTTTGCTACATTTATTTGTGTGCTGACTGCGTTTCAGGCCTCTTAGGATGCTAAGAACCCGAAAACAACACTACCCATCAAGCTAATTAATTATTCATACAGCACTCTTCAAGTTACTTCTTTCTTCATAAATGCCTTCGAACAGGCAAGGCTGCAAATACCGTAAAATTCCGAACATAAGACCCGGGGCTTATGTTTTTCAAAGGCCCTTTTTGAGGAGCTTATTTTTGGAGGGGCTTATATTCGGTGGGGCTTATCTACGGAGGGAAATTTGCGTTTCAAATCGATTGGGCTAGCCTTATAATTAGTTACTTTGTATTTGAGGGCAATTTCCAAGTACAAGTCCCCGGGGGGCTTATATTTGGAGAAGCGATTAAACGGAGGGTTTTTTTGTGTTACGAGTTTTGGGGGCTTATATTTGGAGAGGCTTATACATGGAGTGGCTTATTTTCGGAATTTTACGATAGCTGTATTGGATAGATCGACATTGTGAGACTGTGTGGGAATTTCTCTGTTAAGGAGCGGACATAAGGGCTTCGATCTTGTTTTTTAAGAAAAATAATGGACAAGATTTGTACATACTGTAAGATACTGTCTTTTATTGAAACAATGATTAATTAAAGCTTTAATTAATTCAGTAATGCATGAAACATTGAAGCAAACTAAACTGACATACAAGAAATAAAACAAAGATGCTATTAAGGTAATGCAAAGGTTTGACAAGAATCTCAATGTTACGAATAAAAACATTCCATTTTTCCACTGTTTGAGAGATAATCTAGCCTGCGTGCCAGGCGTTCCAAAGGGAAAGAAAAGAAGATTTTGGGTGCGTGAGAAGCGTGAAGGACGCGCGATGAATGAGGAAGGAGAACGCGTTCCTCTCCTTGCTTCTCCCTCGCGCGCGGTCTCGCTCTTACATTCCCTTCCCCCGCTGCCTTTCGAACGTTTGCCACGTATGCTAGAGATTATTAAGTTATTCTATCATCATATTCATCTTCCTAGCTAATTGATATAAATTTTACACGGTGCGATTTTAATCCTCGAAATCTAATCCGCTTTTAATAACGAAGCGATTTGGCTACAAAAGGAATCGTGCCGTTTGATTTAATTAAGCACGATTTAATTAAATCGTTTTCACTTTCGGATTGGATTAAAGATTTTCCAGACGAAAATATTTTAAATGCGACGGTTACCTCTTCCGCAGATTTTTTTGTCGTTGAGATGAAAGATTATATCACGACCTCTACTTTGACTACATATTATAGACTTAGGAAACGACCGACAACCTGATGGTATACATAGTAACCCGAGAAAGAATGGGTTCCTCTGAAGCTGTAGTGATATATTATCCATAACATTTCATCTACAAAATGTATCGCCAATCAATCGCTCTTAATCACAGCCATTTTGTCTCGTCAAGCAACGAGAAGCCTGAGCGATACGTGACAAGACAATACGGCTGCATTTGAGACCAATTCCCTACGGGCTCAGCCGGTTATTGTGTCGTCACGAAAGATGCCTCCCCGCAAAAAAAGCTAGAGAAGCACTGCGCGACAAAACAAAGAACTCCTGCGCAGGACTAACATGCCGACATAATAATACAAAATCTTGATACTGTTATAAGAGTTTACTATTGACAAACTGATACAACGAAAGTAGTTCACAAAGGGCTAAAAAGAAAAAAAAAAAAAAACTTTCACACCTTGCGCTTTACAGTCTATATTAAATTGTAGAATGTTATTCGAAGGAAATCAAAACGGCGCCAAAGTTAAAGACTCCCCTTATTAGGACTGGGGCCTAGATACTTCTTCAATCATTATCCGGGACACTGAATTCCACCCAGTGTACGCATTACCCAGGGTGTAGCCACTACACTGTCCTACCCATAATTCCATTCTAACAGCGCCTTGTGAGATGTTTTCACAGTACCCTTCAAATGACCGATGATGCAGCAGATTAGGGTTCCCAGATGACCAGTAGTTGTAAACGACAGCCTCAATTGTCATTGGCCCACTGCATTCATTTCCATTGAACTTGAAATACCACCGGTTACACTTAGAACTAAGACCATTGACCGTCATGTTTCCCTGGAATGAGACTCTGAGCGCTGAATTAGACTGGAGTTTGTTAAACGCACAGTCCTGGAATAAAAATCAAACAAATCAAACATATAGTAGTAAGGCCAGCAACCCAACCTCGTCCCCAGGGCTTTCCCCTCAAAGAAATGGGTGGGGCGGGAAAAGACCCCCTTTTCCCGCCTCACCCATTTTTTGAGGGAGGAGCCCTGGGGACGAGGTTGGCGAGCAACCGTGTGTAATGATTGATACTAACAACTCCGGTCAAGATTACTTCCTAATTTTTAAAAACTCTGTAATAGCTTCAATTTTCGTTGTACTTATCCATATGGCCAGGAATCATTTTATCACCCAAGATTGCTTTCCTTTTTTCGTTCAAAAAGAATCAAAGTAGAGAGAAATGTAACTTAGTTATTTATGTAATGTGTTGGCAAATGGTGAGTGAGAAGGGAGACGTTCTTCTTTGAAATGTTTTGATTTAGAGAGGAATTACGTTCCTTTGGAGTGTGTCATGATTCTTATTCTAATTACCTTAATCTTTCCGTTATTAGTACTGGTGCCTGATTTCCACACACATTGTTTCCAGTTGGTTTGTGGTACTACACTTGCTTGACTTGCTTTGGCGCTTTCTCCTTTCTCGCCTTTGTCTCCTTTTTGTCCTTGATTTCCCGCAATGCCTCGCTGTCCTTTCATTCCCACAAGTCCCTGTTCACCTTTTATCCCATTGATTCCTCGGGGTCCACTCTTTCCAGGAGGCCCTTCTCGCCCTCTTTCTCCTCTTAAACCCGGCATTCCTTGTGATCCTTTATCACCAATTTGTCCCTTAGTACCGTCCCTTCCCTGGGGTCCTTGAGGCCCGGGAACGCCTGGCATTCCCGGCATACCATTAGATCCTGGGATGCCCGGGAAACCCACTATAGACAGCTGAAAAAAAGATGATTTGTAGTTAAATGTAGAGACGAAGAAAAACTGAAAACTGAGCGTTAAATACCATGACCCCAATTAGTTATGTGATAGGACAAGCAGGGAACAATGGAATAACCAATAGGCCATTTTCGAGTTCCCCCGAGGCCTCTGTATCAAAAAGAAGTTAAGTGCTCAGTCGTTGATATACAAATGATTTTTCACTCTCATGCAAATAAAACTCATTTTCACAAGAAAGGTTGTGTGCTTGGCCTCATTTTGAAAGTAAGGGTTTTTGGAACTCGCAATTAAGTGGCCTGCAGTCAATATGTGCTAAGGAAGAAAAAATGAAATAAAAGAAGCTTAACAGTTAACCTCGGACTTCAGGTTTTTCGTGCATGAAAGATAATGTTAAAAAAGGACTTTTTAATAAATTGGAATGCATTTGCAAATGATAATATGGCGATGATAAAGTAGTAAAATATATGGTTTAGTCCCTTGGGCGTACCTAATCCACGGCGTACTCTCATTTTTATCTTCGTGTATTTCTTACCTCACATAAATCTTTTAACTTTGCATTGTTTTGTTGCTGAGGTGAGGTGGTTGTTCTCAGTGAACCGCCAGGAATACAGAGAATCAACAAAACAGCGAAATACTGAGCCATCGTGCGAGCTGAACCAGACCACTTCAATTACTGAAATCAGTGCTACGTGCGCATCATTTAAATAGCGTGAAGTATTCTAAAGTCAATCTTCTGTTCCTGTTCATTGTTTGCTAGGTTTGCTGAAATATGGTGATATTTCAGTGCAAAGACTTATCTCTAATTTTGTTGTATTAAGCAGCATTTAGCATGTTTAGGGATATCGTTAGCCTGTCCGAGGCTTCGCAAAGGCCTCATTCCTTTCCGTCCGAGCTGAAATAGTCCCGTTTTATTTCCTTTGCAAATACCTTGCTACTATTAATACTAGCTGAAAAGGACGTACACTTCTTTCATCATCACCAAACATGTGTAGGGAGGTTAATTAAGGTCTTGTTTTCTGTGGAAACACTAAGTCATAGGAAATCATAATAATCGGACCGTGGAAACGCACATCCGATTAAGTATAATTTAGAGTAGAAATTTTTGTATTGGGACCTTTTTTCCCCCATTTTTCACTCTTAAAGACAACTCTAGATCTAAATTATAACATAAGTCCTCAGAACGCCGCTAGCGCTCGATGCAGCATTTTTGTTGCAGCAAGTTTTAGGAGACCTTGACCCTACTTTTTGCAATGGATACTTACTGCAAATTTGTTGCGAGACCATATGTTAGAGGCTGTTCAGCTTTCACCCCACACTATTGGAACAGATTTCAAGCATGGACACGAACTGGAACATGTAAAAAGTTGGGACAATTTGTTTCAAGTTTAACTACAGTTTCTAAAATCAGCAAAAATATTATTATCATGGTTATTCTTCCCTGTGAAATTTGTTTGAAATCTCCGTCAAATCTCTAACGAGTCATTTTGTGTATGGGTTAAATGGCACTTAGTAATCAGTATGACTTCCGCACAGGATTGACTTAAAACAACAATATCCTCATGACATGTCCCCTTCAACCCTTTAAGCCTCAACTTTATCCCAAAACAAATTTTCCACACTGATCTCCATACATTTCCTTCAAGAACTGGTTAAGAGAATTTATAGATCAAAGCTCTGCCCATCAGGTGATCATTTCATTAATTCTCAAGGCAGTTTCTCTTGATTATGTATTGACACTGTTAGGAGAAAATTGACTTTATGGTCTCTCTTGGAACTTGACTGAGGAGTTAAGTAACTGTTGGAGAGGAAGTTTTCGTTCCTTGTTGAAGAAACCTTGCTCTTGTAAGAAGAGGGCTTTAACCCTTTTTTCACGTTATGATTTATAGGAACGATCTCGAATCTCTTGAACAGAAAATAAAAAGATAAAAACTGGCCTAAACCAGATAGATATTAAGAATCTGTGTAAGATAATTGGAGCAATTTTTGCAATCACCAAGAGAATATGACTACGTTTACAAACTCTGGCTGTTTCGTAAGTAAGTGGGCGATTGATTTCTATAAGAATGCAAGATATTCAGCTTCCATTTCTCCACCTTAAGGCAAATAATTCCAAAAGCTTAAAGGAAAGTTAATTTAAATGATCAAAAAATACCTTTGCTCTGAACCGTGTGCTTTCACATGTTACATTTTCTATCCTTGTACTTGCTCTTGCCTTTTTTAACATTTCAGCCAGAAAAAAGGCTCCCGAAAATTCTAGGTGACCTTTTTAGGGTAAAAATCCGTTAAAAATTCTAGATCTCAAATCGTCTTCCGAACAGATATTTTCGAAAATTGACCTTCGGTGCCCCTGTTTAATTAAGCGAAGTTTAAAAACCTTTGAAAGTGTTTTTTTTTTTTGTTTTATTTGTTATTATATTAGATCACTGATTGAACTCATTTGAAACTTACAGACTCAATTGATGTTTATCATTTGCTAACTAATTCTGGGGGTTAAGTTATTTTTATTTGGATCGTGTACAACTGGAGTGTAAATCTAATCAAGACCGAGAGAAAATCAAAGGAACAATTCCCCATAATAAACTTTTTCAGAGTGATCTCATAAGTAGAAAAGTATCTTTCGATTCTTCGTTCTTTTCTTCACAAGTATGAATTATAAGCCACTGGTCTCGTAAATCAAAATATTTCTTTACCACTGTCCCCTTCTGTTTCACTTCAGTGACCTGCTTAGCCTCCATCTATTGATATAATATTCTGTTGAAACAATGGAAACGGTGCCTTAATTTCCATGTGCTTATTCAGCTTCCTTGAGTGAGCCCCCAATGCTACCTGGGTTAATCAAATGCAAGCAATGCATCGGATACGCATAACGATGTAATTTAAAAATGATTTGAAAGTGCCTCATTGAACATAAATAACTATGCTGGTTGGTGCTTGAGATTGAGCGTAAGATTGTATTTTGCTATCTTAGGTGTTGGCAAGAGAAGTTTGTGGTGCGCTGGTTTTACTGATCCGCCCAAACCATCCGGGTGGTATCGCAAATATATAGGGAACAGAACAATAGAGAAGACGTCAGCCAATCAGGAAATACTGACGTCACTATAACTAATAAAACTGATTGGACAATACCGATTCTTTTATCTTTAACTGGTTTGTTCGTTGTTGTGATTTGAAATGGCAAAGGGAAGTACCTTTGAATGAAACTTTTTCTGGCCTTCTCGTTAAATGGACACTTTTTTTAAGAAATAGAAAGAAAGAGAAGAAACGGCATTCTGATTATCGATGCTGGCATTCCCAGATTCATTAAACAGCGACATTTATATCGATCTGTCTTATCTTTGCGACATATATTATATCTAATTCTTCCTTGTTTTGGCGAGGCAAGTAAACTGCGGTAATTCTTTTAAAGAACTAATCGGATGAACCGAAGCTAACCGATAAACTGTGTACATCAAATCAAAATAGAAGAAAGGAAATTCAACGACTCTCTTAGCGGCCGACCGGTTCAGTTATAGTTTACTAGAACGTTAGGGTGTAAGCAGAACGACAAAAACCGTAGTGTACACAAAGACAACGTTTCATTTGACCACTGATTCTAAGCTAGAGAAGAGAAAACGACTTGTAAACGACGAATTTAAACAATGAGCTAACAACGCAAAAATTTGGCATTGGTTGTCACCAAACCAAAATTGATTCATAGTGTCTTTATGTTTTTTGTGCGAGTTTGTTTTTAAAATTCATAAAAAACAAAACTTTGAACGTGAGTGATAAGAGCGAATCCATGCAAAAATCGACCAAAATCGCCGATTCGTGGCAAGGCTCAAAAAATCAAAATCGCTCTTCTTTTGCAGACTGGTACACTTTAGTAAGTCTACAAACGCTATGTAGTTTTTTCTTCGAAAGATCTATTCGTTTCCGAGAAAAACGAAGAAAACCGTTTCATGCCTCACAAGCGATTTCGCAAGCCAAAAACAGGGTTGAAATCATCGTGATTCGCTGGACTCGCGTTCCAATACAATCGCGCTAGGAAAAAAAGTTATTGCTAAAATTTTAAGTTCAACTCGTCGTTGATCGAACTATATAATATTTTTAGCATTACATCAGTATGAGTAATTATAAAAAAGCTAAAGCGTACGGCTACCTGATATTTAGCGACGAAAGGTCGTTGAAAACAGCGACGATTTTCATCATGTGCCTTTGATCAGAATTTTTTCAGATTGAAGGGAAATACACTACAGCCATCAAACGTTTATGCTATGTAAAAATTATTTTGGGGAAATCATTTTGAGCTTGTCAGAAATTATTTGAAAATCGTTTTACAGACAACATAAAGTAACGCCATCTTTAACATATGCGTGACAATTGTCAGTCGACCAGGCAAAGGTCATAACGTCTCTCCTAAAAAGTCCTGGTAATATTCACGCACAAAGTTCTAAATGTTAAAGTACTTACCCTATTCTTTGTTTCGGGTCTAGTTTCACGGCAAAATGTTTCCCGTTGCCATCTGTTCAAGTTTGCCATTCTATATTAAACTCTGTTTGAGACTCATAACTAACACGCATGCTTTCTAACGAAGATCGCTTAGTAAACACGTAGTAAACCCTCTCTTCCTTATATGTCAAAAACGTTTGTCTCTAAATGCTGCTGGACACCGCAGAAGGAAGCGCCAATCTGAAGGATATTAAAAGCGCCCATGCGAACGTTTGTGACTCAGTATGCAAATTACTTTCAACACAGGTAGCCCAAGCTCACTATGAGAGCCGTGAACAACATTATCCTCCTTAGCTAATTAATTATTCATACAGCAAGAAAATTATAAGACGTTGTATGGGGAAATATTCTTTGCTCATTAAATTAGCAAAATGTACATTGAATATCGCTTTAAAGCTTAACTTTAGCGTCTCCTTGTTTTTCTTTGTATTCTGACTGCATTTCAGACCTCCTAGGCACTGTTTAAGGCCTTTTTTGGAGCGACAGTTTTTCACCCAGATGCTATCATCTGGGTGAAAAACTGTCGCTCCAAAAAAGGCCTTAAACAGTGCCTAGGAGGTCTGAAATGCAGTCAGAATACAAAGAAAAACAAGAAGACGCTAAAGGTAAGCTTCAAAGCGATATTCAATGTACATTTTGCTAATTTAGTGAGCAAAGAATATTTCTCCATACAACGTCTTATAATTTTCTTGCTGTATGAATAATTAATTAGCTAAGTAGGATAATGTTGTTCACGGCTCGCATAGTGAGCTTGGGCTACCTGTGATTACAGCTGTCAAGATCCCGGGGTCCGGGGTCTGGATCCGCTAAAAGCAGGCGAAAAGCAAACGTAAAACATGCGTTTTGAAAATGAAGAATTTAATTGGTAGCCTCACTGAAGATTTGCATTGCTTCGAGACGTGGGCATTATCAAAACAAAAGATGTCTTAACAACAAATTGTGTACATGTTTTCTTCCCATCACCACTGGTGGAACCAAGTTGTTGGCTGTGGGTAATCCTGGCCTGCACGTGCGTTATTTCAGAGTGCCTTAAAGGACAAATGTAATTTCTGCTGTGCTAAATGTCACTTTTCGTGAATTGAAAGAAACATTATTGGGCGGGGGGGTGGGGGGGTGGGACGGGCGAGGCACAAAAGAAATATTCGCGCAAGGGAAAATTAAATGAAAAAAAAATTCATGCAAGCCAATTAACCCTAAAAAATATTCATGCTACGGCCTAAAACTGAAATTCAAGAAGGAATTTGATAACGAAAAAAAAAATTAAAAAAATAACTTTTCTAATGGTCCGTTCGTAATAGATAAGATTTCTATTCGTGATCCCCAGTGTCCAGCGTTCTTGTAACATTCTGCAAGCGCATCTGCTTCTGAGCTTGAAGTCAATGGCTTCGTCATTCGCCATATCCCCACACGTTGTCTTGAAGGAGGTACAAGTCAGTCGTTTGAAGTAAATGTAAAAAAATAGAATAAAATAAAACGACAACAACAAATGCCATCAGAACTGGACTACGATCTTTAAATTTTAAAAAAATATATTTTCTCTGGGGGAAATCGGGTTTAATTTCAAACTAAGAAAAAAACTGAAAGGTTTATTTTATCGGACAGATTAGGTGGATTGGTACCGGGGAGACTCTGGGTTATCTAAGAGAGTTGACAACTATGATAAACTTTATACAGTATTCGTGGATTGAATTTAAGCGACTTATAAGAATATAATACAGTGAATAAACCAAGAGTAACTGAGCCTACAGGAATGAGGATACCGGTTTGCTGATAGATATATTTTGAAATGTTCTTCGTCTAACTCTTTTGTCGGCTTTAACAGGTTTCCCTCTTCTTTCAATTATGTGATTGGCGCTTTCCTTTGGAACTTGGCACGAATTGGAATAACTGTTCCGTCACCACCCAATACCGAGCTCAGAAAGATGGAAAGGGCATATATTAAAGGAACTTAGGGCGCTTTCCATTTGTCAGAACTGGCCGGCTGGATCTTTGCCTGACCAGTCATTTTGAAAATGAAATAGGATTTTTCCAAGAGTTTTGCCGAAAAATGTTCTCTTTAGAGCATACTATTTCGGATTTGACTGATCTAGCTGAAGAGTTTGATTAAAAGGGAAATTATCATTGCGACGGGAATGGTCTGGCTGGTCAGTTCTGAGCTAAAATAAAGTCTGTTTCGCTTTCAATGGCTAGAAAGAGACCATGTCGATCTATGCCCAGTTACGTCCTTAATAGTTTGATAGCGACAATTTAACAATCTCAGTTGATCTCTGCTTATCCCTTCTATCAAACGAACACAGAGTACCTACTGATGACTCGAAGGAGCACGAACCTTCCATAGCTTCATCGAAGAAGAGCGCACACAATCAGTGTTTATGCTGAGATCTTTTTCTTTTTCAAGTGGGAATGAACGGTTGAATCAAATTAAACTAAATTTAATTCGATAATGTTAATCAAATGCCTAAAATGTCAAAATATTAAAGATAATTCTCAGGTAAAATAATGTCAACTGGAGTATTTTTGAAGAAGGAGGAATATAAAAGATGAAGCTTCTTCAGTGTACTGGGAAAAACGGGTGAAAGTCGGTGAAGCTCGTCACGTGTATATTACCGGAAGTAGACCCTTGGCACACTCCTATGCAAATGAGATTAGTTGAAGTGAACGGATCCACAAGTCGCGGTTTTCGGTGAAAAAAAAGTGTCTGCGGTGATAACACTCTTTAGAACGGTCGGCATCCGGTTGTTTTGCAAGCGCGAGCCAAGTGTTTTGTTTTACGACGCATCAGCGTTCATTATATCAGCTTACAATTTAACTCTGTGGTTTGCAATTACGGCCTTTTCCAGTTAATACTTAATGTGATTAACCGTTTTGGCCAATGATGTGTCGACTTCGTGAAATTCCATGCGGAATGTTAGCTCGTACAGCCGTACAACCTCGTGTTCTCGTTGCTTTGATTCAATGCGCCACAATGGCAGCTGAGGTCGTCGAGGTCGCAACTGAAAGCGAAGAGGACGTAATAATTAATTGCGTGGCAATCTTCTATGAAGAAGGAAAGGAAGGGGAGAATTTCAGAAGAGCTGTACGTTTTAACAATTGTCTTCTCCACTGAACGTGAACTCCTTACGAGACAAGAAGGTCACAATTCCAGAAGAAACATTTATTCCGCGTTCCACAACTAGCATAGGGACGTCCAAAGTAATCAGTCACCCAGTGTAAGACGTACAGGATCAGTGACACATTTTTTCAAAGTCAAGGGAGATACCAATACTCGTTCAAGTACATGACCAGTATACTTGGCATTTGGTTAGTAGTAAATAGAGTATAATTGCCAACGAGCCATCCGAGCGAAGACGCTCGGATGGCGAGGCGGCAGCAGAATGGAGCCGCGCAAGACTGGGCAATAGGCGGAAAAATTCTCGATCGAGCTGAAAAAGTGTAACCTAATGATTCCCCTGAGACCAAGTGGTCAGTTGTGAACCAATCAAAAGGCAGTACCTGGTGCACGGGCTCAAGTTGAATAACAAACAAAATTTCACACACTTCCCGCCGTCGTGACTTCCTGTCAGGGTTCCTGTGTTTATTTAGCTACATTTTTGGTCAAACCCGGCCACCGCAGTCAAGAGACATGAGCACTTGATATATTCTATTAATTTTAGGGGCCATAATGTTAAGTTTTAACGAAGAGAAGTTTGTAAAACAGCAAAAGTGTTCTATGTGCAGCAAGCAATATTCTCACCACTAAAAAGGATCAGATTACACAAGGAGATAAGGAAAGCTTGACACGAAGAATGCAGTCGCTTCTGTTGGAAAATCTTTTTGGGGGAAAAAATCTAACCAGCAAACAAAAACAATGGGAACAAAAACGAATTACAAGCCCAAAGCGAACGACAAAGGAAAAGAAAACAACGCCATTCAGTTTTTTTCGAAACGTGGCCGAGTTCAGTATAAAAATAATGAACTAAAATTAAATACCGACGTGCCGTACATCGCATATCCTTGGAAACATTTCAGATAGCCCAGCGAATCATTCTAAATTTCAATCCGATAACAAAAAGCCTTGGGAAATTTGAAAGGAGGTTTAAATGATTAAACTGTGCAAATATTTATCAACAATGTGAAACCGAACCGACAGTAGATTTGTAGCTGGACTTAATAATATTCCCGATCGCTTCCTCTGCAAAGCTGACTTTATTCTTTCAAGGCACTTCACACTATAACATAGCAGGTTTGTAAAGCCACCAGACTGAATCTGAGAACTTTTCAAGAAAATAATCCTTGCAACAGGAAGGGACCAAGAAACGGTCAAATGGGGAAAAAAAGGAATTTTATTCCTAAGCAAAATACGCATGATTTGCTCGTTGACACTCTATCGATAGGTATACCTAGTAGTGTAGTACTAACCTGAGATCAGGCTCTGTTTTCGTTTCGCTTTGAAAATTACAGTACAACATATCGTTAGCGTTATGACGCACAATGTCATCAGAATATATCACAAGTCTTGCTGACGTCAGCTTTCATATTGTGGCCTACATGTACGCGCGGTTTCGGTATTCGGGAAAAAATCCGATGCGGTTTGCGGTTTTTTGGCGTATTTCTGTGCGGTTTTGCGGTTTTCGGACCCCCCTTACGCCCCCCTCAGCAAGCAACTTTGCTTTGTTGACAGTTAAACTACCGAGCTTTATTTTATAGACGGCTTTTTTAAGGTCCAGGGTTCTCAAAATTTTTAACAAACATGAGATGTTAACTTGAAAACATTAGAGAAAACAGAGGGATGAAGAAATTACCAGAAAGCTGTCACGCACCTCCAACGCACACATTCCAGCGGACTTCATGACTACGGTAACATAGGTGATAAGACAGCAAAATGAAACAACTTGGAGCTTAAAGTACAACAGATACAGGTTAAGGTGAGCTTTTTAAAAAAATTGTTCTACATATCAAGGCTATCAGCGTTGTAAACGGAAACCTAAAGTCAAATTGTTGGTGGTGGTCGTGTGACTCATGGGTTGGATGCCGTTATTCTATGTTGTCTGTAACACGAATTTGAAATAATTTCTGAGAAGCTCAAAATGATTTCCCCAAAATAATTTTAACATAACACAATAGTTTGATGCTTGTAGAGTTTTCCCTTTCAATCTTGAAAAATTCTGATCAAAGGCACATGACGAAAATCGTCGCTTTTTTCAACTACCTTCCGTGGTTGAACAAAAGGTAGACATACGCTTTAGCTTTTTTATAATTACTCAGAATGTTGTAATGCTAAAAATATTATATATTTTGGTCAACGACGAGTTGTACTTACAAGTTTAGCAACAAGCTTTTTTTCTAGCGCGGTGGTTTTGAAATGCAAGTCGAGCGAATCATAGTGAATTTCAACCCTGTTTTCGGCTTGCGAAATCGACGGCGGGGCTTGAAACGGTTTTCTTGTTTTTCTCGGAAACGAACAGATCTTTCGAAGAAAAAACTACTTGGCGTTTGTACACTTACTAAAGTCTATCAGTATGCAAAAGAAGAGCGATTTTTATTTTTTGAGCCTTGCCGCACTTTGGTCGATATTTGCATGGAGTTGCTCATAACACCCTTTGTCTTAGATAAAAGCTAGAAATGCAAATTGTTATTGTGGTTGCGGAAACCATTGTTGGTTAGTTGTAGTCGGTGGTGAACTTAAAACAAGACTTACTATTATTTTGTATTTTTTACTCGCTGGTTTTCAAAACGGCCAACGCGAATAATTCAGCATTGTTTTACAGCCGATGCAAAATTTCTGACATCCTTTCGAACCATTGCCATTAGCATTATGACATGGTGCGAACTGTACATTTTCTTTCTTTTTAATTTTGGCACAACATTGTCTCTTCTTTCTTTTTTTAATAGGGAGCTCAAGCAAAGACGTTCGATGCACGTCAATAGAAAGTGAGACCTTTATCTTTCTTTCATTAAACTATGTCATGAAACCCACATTTCTATCCCTAATAGTCTTAATAGAACGCTTTGCCCGAAAATTTGGGCATCATACTGCTCGGCAGAATACTGCCCAAGGTGCAAAAGACGCACTTTCGGTTGACGTGCGTCCGGCTCAAAACGTCTTTTAAGCTCACTATTAAACTACCCGAATTATATAAACAAGCACAACGTTGTATCTCCGCTTTTCCTTTTGTCACTTGATCTCCCAAACCTGCGTCAAGGGCTAGGCGCTTGAATTTGTGGTATCCCGTTCACGCGCGTCTTCATTCCCCCTAGGTTTTCTTCACCTTTTGAAAGGTACTTAAAAGTACTAAATAATGTTCATTACTTTTATTGTGCATTTTAACATTAAAAGATATGATCAAATGCGCAAGTACTTGCCATGTAATATATTCAGCCGGATCTCCACTGACTAGTTACCCGCAAAATGCTTAGAGAATATTCAGTTATGAATGTTCCTTCTTAAGGGTTGCACTGGTTGGTAATACAGGCTAACCCAGAGTCATTCATTTTAAGTCGGTAGAACCTCGATTTTTGATTCGGATGACTGGATTTCATTTGCTTTCCCTTGATCAAAACCGTTACTGAAATTTACCCTGATAAGTCAAATTCTCCTCTAACTAGAACTGCTTTTCCTTTCCTTTCAGAGTTCGAGTTACCTGGTCGTTACGGTAAACTGGTCGCCTCTAGCTTACGGGAGAGGTTGCGAGCAGAGCTTTGACTGCATATAGAAGGATTAAAAAGTTACTGAACCCTATTATCACGGCAAAATATCGTCATTTGTTGGAGTGTCTCACAGGTCAATTCCCTTCTTCAGCTCTCGGCTTGGGCAAGTCGTATTTCGCTTAGCAGTGTCCAAGAATTAACAATTTATTAAGTCACTTCAGATGGTAGTATCTCCAAGAACAATTATCTGCTAAAAAACAAATCTACGAGGTAAGATTATTTCGAAAGCTCAGCGGAGAAAAAATCTCATATAATCTTATTAAGTAAACGTGTCGGCAAATATAGAGGGTGCTTGTTTATAATCAGAATCAAAAAGCTTTTTTGTCTTCTAATCTTTTTGTCATCAGATCTCTTTTTTGCTGCAAAATCAAGCGTTCTAAGATGATCGCCTCGTGCCTACCTTTGCCCGCGAGAAAAAGCGAAAATCAGAGACAAACAAATAAACAAACAAAAATAAGTAAATAACACCTGTTTTACAGGCTAGAAGAAGAAGCATAGAAACTACACCCGTTTTATAAATGACGAACTATCAAACCTTTCGAAAATGGCCAATTCAAATTTAATTGAAGACCTGGGGGATTCCCTTATTACTTCTAAAAGGTTACGTGCCACTGAACAACAGGAAGTTGGTTTTAAGGTCTCACAAGTGAGTCTCAAACAGGGTCAACTAATTCACTATTTAGCGTCGTTAACAAGCTGAATTTTTGGACCGGATGCCTTTTAAAGAGTGTGAAAGTTGGGCCTACTTTTAAGCTATAAATAATCCTTTTGTAAAATTCCCTGATAATCGTTTAACAAAACGCTTAATTCTGTTTGCGAAACGAAATGAGTTAGGGTCATAAAACAATATCTCTTTGTCTTAAACAGGGTAGGGTCAGGTTACTGTAAATCCGGCAAGTCTAATTATCACGAAACAAAACAAACCATCTTTCGTCTCTTTCTTGGTTTTTGCTGGTTGTCGCGAAAGGACACAGGGGCACCCAACGAGAATATAGTTCAAAACCACTTAAACATAGCATTGTTAAACGTGTTTTAGTATTTAAACGGTGGATATGGGCATATTTTTATTCCCTATAAATTTTTCATCTGTTCGGATTTCCTAGCTGAAAGTCTAGTGATCCGAAAATTGTAGGGATCAAAACTTACCTGTTCGAAAATTTCAGCCATAAAAAAGGCTCCCGAAAATTCTAGGTGACCTTTTTAGGGTAAAAATCCGTTGAAAATGGGCAATTTTACCATTTTTTAGATGTTCGAAAATCCTAGGCGAGGCAGGCAAGCAAGAAATTTTACAACAAATGTTCCGAAAATTCTAGATCTCAAATCGTCTTCCGAACAGATATTTTTCCGAAAATTGTCGTTGGGTGCCCCTGAGGACAGCCCATTTTGACGCCCCTCCTAAAACAGTGCATAGCTAAGGAATGTTCCTAGTTGACGGGAGCCAACCAATCCATGCGCCATTTCTAATCACTGATCGGGTGAGAATGGCAAACGTCTACTAGCTCCTCCACAGGGTCGGTTCATTGCGCTACAAAGCCAGGACGCTTTCCGTCGCGTTTTATCTCCGCCGTCTTCGATAGATAGTTGTGTACCTATTCACTAGAAGAAACAAAATAAAATGGCGACTTTTTTCCTTTCTGTAAAAGGTATAGCGGTACCAAACGTCTTAATGCTAATGGAAAATTAAATTTTGCCAAATTAACGATTCAATTATGTTTTCAGCTTTACTTATCCCTCGGGCTGAAACCTGAAGACGTCATCGAGCACGTAACTTAGACAAACTGGTTTTTATCTGTTAATTAGGATAGTTAATTTACTTGTTATGGTCATTAATTATAAATTAAAATATAGTTTTCGGTTAGGTGACTGACGAAATTCAATGATGTTTCTTTGTTATTGTAAAAGGTGGTTTGTATTCATTGGTCACTATGTACGTGTAGTACGCGTATGTTTATATTGACTGAAGCCTTGGGTTTAGAAGTCACTTGGTTTGACACCCAGGATTAGCTCCTTTCTTTATTTTAGGTGTATCCTTATTGGGCAAAGGTGGCAATATCCTGCTTGGGTTTCATCCGACCCAGATATAAAATCAGAGGAGCTCCTATGGGTCGGTGCAGGGTCGACATTTATTATACATTGGTACTCTTTTTAATATCATAGGTGCACTGTTTTTTGGCTATTCTAACCTTTTATTAGTTCACCTCCGGTTGAAACATCGAGGAAACGTTTTTTCGGTTAAGATATGGTAGAAAAGATTGCTCTCCAAGGGCGATGTTGGTATCAGGCTAAGATAAAAGTAACAGTAGTTTTTTAACGAAACCGTCAAAAACACAGAAAAAGATAAACTCGTCAAATTTATGGTATATAAAAACCTACAAAGCAATGAAGGGCTTGCTAAATAAAAGAAAACTGTACTCTTGACGAAGTTCGTACTTCGATGGTCCGGCATAACTTAACTTCTTATAACTTGATGTATTTCCCTTCCCTTTCCTCGCTATTTTTTCCCCAAACAGAGAGCCGGGTATACCCATACAGCACTACAGGGGTGATTAAAGTTCCCAAAGAAAGAAAAAGATAGTTCAAATGAGGCCTTTGACTGCTGAAATTATAAACAATAATTAAATTCTGAGCAACAGCGTCATCAGGGAGAAGAAAAATGTTTCGCGTGGTAATATACGTACGAAAAAATTGGTGTGAAGTAAAATGCGTGACAAGCGCAAGAACGGAGCAGAATGTATCAGAGGTATAAAAATATAACCTTGAATAAAATATAAAGATCTAATGAGCGAGTGTCACAGGACAAAGAGTCTCTTGAAAGTCGTAATGATGGTCTTCAAAACAAAAGGTCGGCAAATTCGTTGCATTCCTCACGGGAGTTTGGGGCTGTCTCAATGTAAATCGAGCAGCAACAAAACATGCTGGTTGACAAAAACTCTCGAATAAATTCTAAAATAAAAGGTCCGCAAATACGTCTCACGGGAGGTGAGGACCGGCTCAATGTAAATCGACCTGCGAAGAACACTCTCGTTCTGATAAAAGTTTTGAGAATATAACCCTAGACCTTTATCAACTACCGCTTAAAATTCAATTCACAAAGGAAAAGAGAACACTGAAAACCCTGATTCTGAGTCGAGAAGCGAACACGCTACCTCAATGTAAATCGAGCTGCAAAGAATAAGCTGGTTCTGACAAAAATTTGAGCGTAAAACCGTATTTTTTAAAGCTGCTGCTTTAAACGCAATTTATAAAGCAAACCAGAGCACTAATTACCCTTTCAAACTAGAAATCGTATCAAAGCTTGCTCACCTGTTAGGTCCTCTTGAACGGACAACGAACAGCCGCACACTGAATCACCCAATTTCGGACCACGAGTTGTAAATACAAGACCATGACATCACTACCCAAATATTGGGTCTTACTTACACCCAAATATGGTCAAAAATGCAAATTTTAGAGGGTTACGCAGAATTTGAGAGTTTTTGCCTACATTACGCAGCGTTATAATTCTGCCGGCGAGTCAACCTCGCTTCTTAGCTCGGTTGCCTCGTTGGCAATTAAAGTAACGGGAAGGTTTGACAAGAATCTCAATGTTACCAGCACAAACATTCCATTTCTTCCCACTGTTTAAAAGATAATCTAGCCGGCGTGGCAAGCGTTCCGAAGGGAAGGGAAATAGGATTTTGGGCGCTTGAGAAGCACGAAGGACGCGCGAGGAAGGAGGAAGGGGAACGCGTTCCTATCCTCCCTTCTCCTTCGCGCGCGATCTCGCGCTTAAATTCCCTTCCCTTCCCTTTCGAACGCTTGCCACGCAGGCTAGCGATAATCAAGTTATCCTATTATCATATTTTTATCTTTCCAGCTGATTGTTATACATTTTACTAGGTGAGATTTTAATCCTCAAAATTTTTATCCGATTTTGGCAAAGGTTTCTGAGGTTTTGCCTCAAAGTGTTTAGCTACAAAAGGAATCGTACATGTTTAAGTCGCTATTTAATTAAAGATTTTCTAAAATATTTTGACGGCGAAGATAACTTCTTAAGCAATTTTTTTTCCAGATGAAAGATTATATCACGACGTTTGCTTTGCCTGCATAATATAATCAATTTAAAGACTTAAAGAAATGAACGGTAATCTGGTGATGTGGCATGGTAACCCAAGAGAGAACGGGTTCCCCTGAAGCTGCAGTGATATATTTTGCATCCACAACATATCACCTTTGAAAAGTATTGCCAATCAATGGCTCTCCATCACAGCAACTTTTGTTTTATCTCGTCAAGCAACGGGAAAGAGCTTTTCATGACAGGACAAAACTGTTGCATCAGGGACGGACCAATTCCCTACGCGCTCAGCCGATTATTGTGTCTTCAAGAAAGGTGCCTCCCCACATAGAGAAGCGCTGCGTGACAAAACGTAGAACTGCTGCAAAAAATTGCATGAATAGGAGACTAACATGCCTAAATAATTATACAAAATTTTAATACTGTTATAAGAGTTTACAGGAGCCAAGGCTCCTGGAGTTTAATACGACGAAAGTGGCCACAAAGGACTAAAAAGAAAATAACCAAAAACAATACTTTCGTACCTTGCTCTTTACAGTCTATATTTGTAGAATGCTATTCTAAGGAAATGAAAACAGCATTAAAGTTAAAGTTAAAGACTCCTCTTATTAGGACTGGGGCCTGGATACTTCTTCAATCATTATCCGGGACACTGAATTCCACCCAGTTTCAGCATTACCCAGGGTTTGGCTACTGCACTTTCCTACCCATAATTCCACTCTGACCGCTCCTTGTGGAATGTTTTCACAGTACCCCTCAAATGATCGATGATGCAGTAGATTAGGGGTCCCAGATGGCCAGCTGTTGTAAACAACAGCCTCAATCGTCATTGGTCCACTGCATTGGTTTCCATTGAACTTGAAATACCACCGGTTACACCTAGCATCACCATAGACCCTCATGTTTCCCTGGAATGAGACTCTGAGCGCTGAATTAGACTGCAGTTTGTTAAACGCACAGTCCTGGAATATAAAAATCAAACATATTGTAGTAAGGCGAGCAACCGTGTGTAATGATTGATACTAACAACTCCAGTCAAGATTACTTCCTAATTTTTAAAAACTCTGTAATAGCTTCAATTTTCGTTGTCCTTATCTATATGGCCAGGAATCATTTTATCACCCAGGATTGTTTTCCTTTTTTCGTTCAAAAAAATCAAAGTGGAGAGAAATGTAACTTAGTTATTTATGTGATTTGTTTGCAAACGGCGAGTGAGAGGGGAGATGTTTTTCTTTGAAATATTTTGATTTAGAGAGGAATTACTTTCCTTTGGAGCGTGCTATGATTCTAATTCTATTTACCTTAATCTTTCCGTTATCAGTACTGCTTTCTGATTTCCACACACATTGTTTCCAGTTGGTTTGTGGTACTACACTTGCTTGACTTGCTTTGACGCTTTCTCCTTTCTCTCCTTTCTCTCCTTTTTTTCCTTGATTCCCCATAATGCCTCGTGCTCCTTTAATTCCCACAGCTCCTTGCTCTCCTTTCATTCCCAGAAGTCCCTGTTCACCTTTCATTCCCTGAATTCCTCGGGGTCCACTCTTCCCAGGGGGTCCTTCGCGCCCTCTGTCTCCTCTAGGACCTGACATTCCTTGCAATCCATTATCACCAGTTTGTCCTTTTGCACCTTCCCTTCCCTGGGGTCCTTGGGGTCCTGGAACGCCCGGCATTCCCGGCATGCCATTTGATCCTGGAATACCAGGGAAACCCACTAAAGATCGCTGAAAGTAAAGATGATTTGGAATTTAATGCAGAGACGAAGAGAAAATTGAATCTTACATACGACATAACCCCAATTTATACTATAATTGAATGTTAGTCACGAAAGGACATACATTATTGCATTCTCTTTTGTTTGAGAACCACAATGGACAATGAATACATTAATCACCTTAAGCGTTCTATCTAGCCTCGAATAGACGTATCTGAGACTTGACGTATCATATATAATTGACAGAGGTAACTGGATTCTTCTTTTTTAGAAAAGCAAGAGAAATTGAAATATATATTATCAGTATGAGCTAAAGAATGGAAATTATTGGAATCAGAGAAACTTAAGGTGGCTCCCAAGAGTAAATTGGCAGTGCGCAGCCTGAGCACTAGTATGGCGCGAAAAGACAGGGAAAACGCCCTGGCGACGAGTTTGATGGCGCGAGCTTTAAAAACCGCGCGACGTCCACGCAAAAATAAACAAAGCATGGCTTCTCAGTTTCGAAATATTCCCAGAGAAAACCTTTATTGACTTTCTTCACGCCCATTACGCCCAAGTTTGGTTAGTGAAGGTCAAGCATTTATGAGAACAGACAATGTTATACGAGTTACAAGTCACTTATCTGAAACTAGATCGAGCCATGTGCTAAAGAAACAAGAATGTCTTAAGCGGCAGAGCTCCTTGGTAAATTCATTTCTCTTATATTTTATTTGATTAAAGAAATGCTAATAGCAGGAATAGTAACTTTAGGGAAAGATTACAGGCAGTGAACGTTTTTTTGGTTTTGCAGTCTATCACCTCGTTTAAGAAAAAGGTTTCAAACTAGCAAAATCCTGATGGAACCTTTCCAAAGACGAACTAATCATCCTTGTACTTTTTCTTGGTTCAAAGGTCCTTCAAAGACAATGATGCACAAGAAGATGTTTTCGCACAACGAAAAATAATTTTTGAGTCACAGACTGACCCTTGACGAAAGCAATATTCGAGAACTACAGTCTTGTGCATGCAGCTGACGACGTAATCTATTGTGATCGATGCCATCGTTTACTGCAGACAACCCCCCCCCCAAACCCCTCCCAAAAGAAAAACTTCGCCGTCCGCATTGAAGAGCATAGTTTAAAAAAATATCAAGGAGACTAAGGGGTCTGGCAATTGAAGATCTGCAAACAGTGAACAGCAGGTTGGGAAATGAATGGCTTATTGCGATCCTTGCACAACCACATTCTTCATCTCCGATGACCGCCTGATCACCACGAGTGACCACCACGTCTCGAATTCTGGCTACAATAGTCAAGTATTTCGAAGAAAAACATCCACTCTTAGGTATAAAATTGAATCCCCTATCTTCTCCTCTTAAAAATAGCGAGATAACACCATAATAATACTAATAAACGGCTTTGAGGAGGGCTCTCGTACTTTTCGAAGAAACCACATGTTTTGAGTAGCTATGTGCATTATGCGCATGGGGGTGTAATGGCTCGCGCGCGTATTTGCTCCCATTTCCTCAAACCACGCGTGTTCTTCCTCTGAAAAAGGGAAAAATAACCATGAATTTTGTCGCGTTCCCTTTGGGCACTTTTTTGTTAATTACCTCATTTCTTACTAGTTTTAGTACCTTTGAATTCTCTTGTTTTTATTAATTTGTAAGAGCGAGCTGCTTTTATTAAGAAAAGTAACAAATTAACCAACAAATTACTGAATATTGGAAAAACCGTCTTAACGATCCCATGTTTTTTTCCAATTTAAAAAGTTAAGCAATATTGTTAATATAATGTGGAAAAGATTGAAAAACATTTCACCGAGAAAAATTAGAAGTATTAAGGAAAAATGATCAAACATGATAAAACTACTGTCTGTCCAAGGAAGCGATGTTGCCATGGGACAAACCTTTATCTAGAAAATGCAACTTGATAATTAGCGTTCTTATATGGGTGACCATAGCAGTGAATCTCTTAAACAAAATCACTGCAAAGACAAACTTCTGTGTGTGTAACGCATGCTAGACACCAAGGGTTGTATTAGTAAATACTCTAGGGAGCCACTTTAAGGTGGCTCCGTAATTAATACAAGAGCATTTAGCTGTGACAAATTTTCCGTGACAACTTTTTCGATTTTAACGCAATGGCTGCGAAACTTTGCAAAGAACAACAGATATCATTCGGCAATAATACGAAGTATTCCGATTTCATTGAGAAATTAGCGCTTAAAAGGACCCTACTGTTCAAAGAAAATCGCGTCTAGTAAAAAATTTTGCTGATATTTTTTACTGAAATTTCTGGTATCGGCTTTAATTGATATAATAAATATGCCAGAGGAATTTCAGAAAAATCGTTGGAGCAGAAGTCCGTAACTAAAAGTCGCTCAAAATTCAGCTGTGAAATTGTTTTGGAATTTCAAAAATAAATTACTATCGGGTAGAGGGAGCCACCAGTTTGAATTTTCGAGACAAGTAAATTCAACGTTTGCTAATTCTTAAAACAAAAGCCGATTGCCTATCGTGCTATTCTTTAAAAGGTACTGTTTAGTTGTAGAAGCTCTATAAATTGCCCCAAACCTTGCTATGAGGTAGAATTACTTGTTCTTCGACATTTTTAAAATATCCCATGGCAGTTTTGGTTCAAACTCCTGCTGCATACATTTTGATGTATTGCAATGCATTTTCAACGACTTTTACTGCTGTTCGTTGCTTCCAACTCAGGAAAAAAGTATTGAGATTGGACGCTACCTCGTACCAGAGCTCAGATAGAACTGTCCAGCACCTTTGTTTATGACTACAAAATGAGCACGAGCGGCAGTTCTGCGAGGAATTCGCACCTCACCCAGGGGGGACGAACGACAATGATGACCATGCCTGTGAACCGAATAACATCACAGTCCAAAATAAAATTATCGCAAAAATACTGCCCGTGAATAAATTTACCACTCTGAAATTTTTGTCACTCCTTCCTTCAATGAATGGGTATTTTTTTCTTGATTATTATGTTTTGCTCTGCAATACATGTTTATACAGATCGGTTCACAGACGTGGGCATCATTGTCATTCGTCCCCCCTGGCTGAGGTGCGAATTCCTCGCAGAAGTGCCGCTCGTGCTCATTTTCTGGTCATAAACAAAGGTGCTGGACAGTTCTATCTGAGCTTCGATACAAGGTAGCTTACAATCCCAATACCTTTTTCCTGAATTGGAAACAACGTACAGCAGGAAAAGCCGTTGAGGATGCATTGCAATACATCAAAATGTGTGCAGCAGGAGTTTGAACCAAAACTGCCAAGGGATATTTTAAAAATGTCGAGGAACAAGGACAACAAGTCATTCGACGTCAGAGCAAAGGTTTGGAGCAATTTATAGTGCTTCTAAAACTGAAAAGTACCTTTTAAAGAATAGCACGATAGGCAATCGGCTTCTGTTTTCAGAATTAGCAAACACTGAATTTACTTGTCCCGAAAATTGAAACTGGTATCTCCTTCTTCCTGATAGTAATTTATTTTTGAAATTCCAAAACAATTTCACAGCAGAATTTTGAGCGACTTTTAGTTACGGACTTCTGTTCCAACGATTTTTCTGAAATTCCTCTGGCATATTTATTATATCAATTAAAGCCGATACCAGAAATTTCGGTAAAAAATATCAGCAAAATTTTTTATTAGATGCGATTTTCTTTGAACAGTAGGGTCCTTTTAAGCGCTAATTTCTCAAGAAATATTTACCATCAATGAAATCGGAATATTTCGTCTTATTGCCGAATGATATCTGTTGTTCTTTGCAAAGTTTCGCAGCCATCGCGTTAAAATCGAAAAAGTTGTGACGGAAAATTTGTCACAGGTTGAGATGCTCTTGTATTAATTACGGAGCCACCTTAACAGTTGACCTAAGACTTAAGGTTTTTAGTGATGCAAGATCATGTTGAAACAGGACTTTTAAATGTACTGGAATGCGTTTTATATTTTGGGAAGTTTTAAATATGCGTAAAGAATATATATAGTGATAAGAAAGCAGTAAAATGGTTTCTGCGTGTACAGTGTACCTAATTCACGGCGTAGTATTCCTTTTTATCTTTATGGATTTCTTACCTCACACAAATCTTTTAACTTTGCTGTGTTTTGCTGCGGAGGTGATGTGGTTGTTCCCAGCGAACCGACACAGATACAGAGAATCAGGAAAACAGCCAAATAATGAACCATGATGAGAGCTGAACCAGAACACTGCGATTACTGAGATCGGCGCTACGTGTTCGTTAGTTAAATAGTGAATGTTTGAGAGTTAATCTTCTGTTCCTGTTCATTATTTGTTTGTTTTTGCTTGTTTCATTTTCCTTTTAAGGCAATTATATTGCAAATTCTTTGCCTCTGGTCACATGCCCACGTGCAGGGACTACTGAAACAGGGTTAAAAACATGAAATTTTCAAAAATAAATAACACTGAATTGTTACAAAGGTAACATTTTTTTCATAATTCTGCTTGGTGTAGCTTTATGTTCCTAGAGCCTCCTAACGGTCTCTCTAGCGTGCCAAAAACTTTCAGACGTTGAAAAAAACTTTGCCTTCAGTATGAGTAAGTTAGACATGTAAAGAAATAAAAACATGAGATTACATTCAGTTCTAGCTAAACAAGCCCTTGACTTCTAAAGTAACTATTTTTATATTCCCTTATACTGCGGCTTATATCCACGTACCATTCATGGAACTGAAGTTAGGTTACCTTTAATTAATTGGTCTGATTTTAAGATGACCCTCTAAGATAAACATGTTGAGCGGTTTGTACGTGTAAGTGTTGTATTTTGCGAGAGCATCTCCTTCCTCTACTGCTGTCGCTGATGTCATAGGGGTATGGCTGTTGTTCGAAACAAAATGGCAATCAAAGCACTAAAAAAAAAGAACAATGTTTAGTTTTAAGGAAGTGTGTTTTGTTGCTGGTGGTGTTATTTTCATTTTTTTTTTTTAATACGCTACGTTATTCACACAGTTTCTACATTTTACCACACTCAGTTCAGGAAACTGAACAAAAACGTAACCACATTGAATAACGATGTTAAAAATTGGACAGTAATGATGACTTTCGTCTCCTGTCAGTGCTGATCCATAATCTCTCTGTTAGGCAGCCACAAAGGAAAGTATAGCATACAATGTGTAAAAGTGCAAAATGATTATTTTAAATTTAATTGGTTCAGCACCGGGTTTACTATCCAGATGAGCAATTCAAATTTTTTAATGTAATGAGCAAACTGTACGTGCACACGCATAGAGCTGAAACCGGCAGCGTGATACTTAGTCAGTAGACAGATCTATATCTCCTATTATAATATATTAAGCAGCATTTAAGCTTAAGGGTTAGTTTGGCGTTGTAGTGAGGTATTTCATTCCTTTCCTCTCGTGCTGAATGGTTTCTTGTTATGTCCTTTACAGCCCAAAAGGATACTTCCTTCATACAAAGCCACGTTTACGTTCCAGCACCTGAAACACGTATAAGGAAGTTGAAGGACCTTTTTTCGTGTCTGGACAGGTCAAGTGAAAGAAAATCACCCATGTCAAGTAAGCTTTTTAATAACGACAACAAAGCAGGAACAAACGAATCTACATTGTACCAGCCGAGAGTAAAAGAAACCTTACAATAGAAATATGTACATTAAGTTAGTAACTGTTATGTAATCAATGATGCTGACACTGTCTGCAATAACCATGGGGCTAAAAAGATCAGAGACCCATTATCTTTAAAATAAATTAAAATGATCTTAATAGCGGAGCTCCACGCGCGCGCGAAACGTGCGCGTGGGCGGAGCCCCATAGCTAAGTAAATCTACCCATCCCAGAAAATTTGGTAATCACGTGACCGTACACCGACCGCCGACCGTCCGTCCGCACCACAGGAAAACCAATGTTTACTCTCACACTTTTAGCTAGCTTGGGAGCCCAAGAGGAAACTAATTGCACATCAATTTTGTGATCAATTGACAGCTGTCAAAACAGGGCATCCGCTGACCAGTATCACCTGACCGTACCGTGGGCTCAAGTGTGGACGCATCGAGGTCGAATATTTTTTTGAAGTTATCCGCTGACAAATTACCAGTTTCAAAGTTTATTTTTTCCAAGGATTCATACCAAATATGTTGTTTTTATGTCACTATGGCCCCGCATTATTAGGATTTTGATTTCAAACTGGCCTCGGAAGTGAAAATTTAACCAGTTTTTTTAAAAGTACAGGCGGGGAAGAAGACCTTATCTTACCATGGTCACGCGTTGGTCACGCTCTACGTCTAATTTTTGTACTCTGATTGGTCAAAATTTGACAGGTGAGTTCATGCGGACAAATTATGCAGCATCTTGAAAGTTGTTTACTTTGACAGCTGAAGCTGACAGAGTTTTGTGTCAACTTGTGATGTTTTGAACTGCCTTTTTCCTCTGGATGTACAAAACGAAATACAGTTGCTGTCAAGAGTCTTCTGTTATTCATGGCTGGTTTGTTTACCGGGTTTTTGTCTGAGAAATGCGTCGCTTGTCAAAATTCGGTAAGTCGTTTTCGTTTTTCACCTTGCTTAATGCGTAAGAGGGTTTAAAAGTCTCAAGCAACTATGGCCTTCCTTGATAGCTTTCAGGAACTGAATCTCGAATGGTAAGCCTGAGTAATTATTGTATTTGATGTTTGTTTTTGTTATATCTAATTTCCTGAAGTCTTGCACAGTTCACGCTTACAGTTTATGCGGCAAGTTTATGCACGTTTGTAGGATTTGAGTCAATGATCTGACCTAGTATCAGGTTTGATATAAGCTTACAGAACTTTAAAAAGCCTTCAGATATATTTGCTCACCACAAATAGAAAGAAAACGTTCCGAAGAATATTTAGTTATAAATTTGGCTGTACAAACAAAACTTTGAGCGATTTTCTTGCTTTTAGGAGTTCCTCTTCGAAAACAGTAAACACCGCGCCGGGAAGCCGGAAGACTCAGGATTTTTAGAGACACTTTAATACTTGTCTTCGTGAATGAAAATTGTTGTCTCTGTAAATGTTTCACCGAATTATATTTCTTTTTCTTATTGTTAGTAGTCTCTCTTGCAATGTTAATCGCTTGTCCGTGCCGTTTGTTTTCATCGTTCATGAACATCGCTTGCAGGAGTACTCACGCGTATCAAACGCTTTATAAGATTACACATCGTTATATAACTGAAACCATTAAATAACAAAAAAAAAATAATAATAATAAATTCGCTATCATGTTGAAGCGTAACTCTATTCAAGTTCATTCAAACACTCGACCACACTGAGAGCTCGCACTATAGAAACGAGAACCAGCTGGCCGTGTGGGTGATTTTGGAAATTTTTGAACGGTTTCGCTTAAAGCCCACGATTGATCGTCCTGAATATTGACTGAGTGCAATTTGCCATGAAAAATTGTGAAATACCGTATTCTGTCCGAGGTCTGTAGGATAAATAGTACTGTTTCACCGCAAATGTGGTGTATAAAATTTATAAAAGGTTGGTTTAAACACCCCCAGATTTGTTGGCAAGAATTTGTAAAGTAAACCTGTCGAACGCAAAAAAATTCGGCGTGATTTGTTTTCCAAGAATTTGTTTTCGAGGCCTAATCAACTGTGATCTTGAATGTGATCGAAGATGTTTTCTATTTTTGGGTGTACATATAAGGTTATCAATTCGATGTAAGATGTTTCACTCTAAAATAACTTAGCCTTTCCCTCAAAAGTCACATGAATGTGCCCTTAAGTTAACTGATTTGTGGATTACAAGTTTATTGTTTGATTGAAATTATAAATTTTTTAATTGGAGCTTCGCTTTTAGCTCTGGCTAAATCTATATATTAGTCGGTACATGACAAGATGATTACAAATTTACTGACCGAATACTGACAAACACAAGAAGGTGTTCCTTAAGAGGCTGCAGAATGACTTTCATATTTTTGTTATCAACTTAAACCCTGTTTACGCGGGTCCGGATAATTTTTTGAACGGACAAATTTTTTTTACCTGTGTATCCAGTTTACACGCGGAACCGTGAAAATTCTGTTACAACTTGCACTAATGTTTAGTGACGGACCATTATTTTTTTGACGAGGGCAGGGGGGGTTGGAAAATTTTGAAATAAACTGTTGCAGAGGCTGTAGACACTGAAAACATAGATGTTTTCGTAAACGGAAAACAGCTCAGTAATGTGGATTGTGCTACCTTATTAGGCGTAGAAATTGACAGCAAATTGTCCTTTGATGAACATATTGAGAAAGTATGTAAAAAGTTGGCCTCTAGAATCGCAATACTGCGTAAGATTCGAGCCTGTCTACCTCTTAAACAGCGACTTCAGTTTTATAATAGCATTATTCGCCCTGTTATATCTTACGCTAACGTTGTTTGGGCAAATTGTGATAAAGAGTCGGTTTATAGGGTCTTAAGATTGCAAAAACGTGCGGCACGCGTTATTTCTTATGCCGATCGCATGACACCATCAGTTGCTTTATTTAACAAGCTAGGTTGGATTCCATTTTATGAGCAACGTACATAAGATAGATAAATGCATAATAATGTATAAGCGAATTAATGGGTATTTGCCGAATTATCTAAATGAACACTTAATTTTGAATAATAAGCGGCATTCCCGCAACACTAGATATTCAAGCATTAATGCTGTTTGTCCTAAGAGAAACAGAGGGAGGACGCTCTTTCGCTGTTTCGGCAACAAGACTGTGGAATAGTACACCAATTAGAATTAGGAAACTAGATTATGTAGCATGTTTTAAAAAGAACATGTTTGCCAAGATTTTTAAGGAACAACAATGTTTGCATCATTTTATCATTTAATAATTTTTTATTTTTATAAAATTCGAATCTTGTTTTATTTTAATTGTTTATATATTTTAGCTTACTGTATTTATTAGATTGTAAATAGTTGTGTATTTTATGAGGGCCACAAGTTTATTAGCCTTTGGCTATTAAGTGCTACCCTCTTTAAATAAAGGCTTTATATATATATTTATTTATTATTTATGGCTGTATATGCAAGTAAAAAAAATGTTTGCAGGAAGGCGGAGACAAAAGAAGCACAGATTGTAGAATTTCATTGTCTACTTTTAAATTTAAGCTAACATTTTCATCTGTATTTAAATTTTAGATCTTACTTTCTGATTGTCATGCACATTTAAACATTTTTATGAAAAATTGCGCAATATAAATGTATAATAGGAAATTTATTTCTGAAAGAAATAAATGGTTTTATGCTTAATGTGACTGATTAATGTGTCATTTCTCCAGTTACTGGGGAGGAGGCGTTCCTGCCATCCGGGACATTATATATTGTGTTTTTAAGACATGAAAGCGAGGCGCAAGGCCTCTCTGCTCACTGCAACAAGAATGTTGAAAAACATTTTTAGATGGTGGGCATGCAGGTTTGGATGCATGACGCTGGTGATTTATCAGTCTCCTTTGATCTTCTTGGGTTTTATCTAGCGAACATCACCTCTTCTTTGAGATAAGTACTAGATTATTGCCAGATGGCTTACCGCTTACTCTCTGTGCTGTATTGAAGTGCACAGATCTGATATGATGTGCGTGCACACGATCGTCTTGTTGATTGCAAGAATTGATACACGTTACGGTCGTTTATGCGCATATAAAATCGAATTCTTCGTTCAATCGGCCAGTTAAATGTTGGCAGTTACATTGGCGTGTATGCTATTCCGTTCGTTGTTCATACTTCGTGGTACCTCGTGTTCAGTTTGTTTTGGAGATCCTAATGGATTGACTGATGGTTTATGCATTGTTTATTAATGGTAGCACATTCTAGCCTGTTTAGAGAAGTTGTTTTTATTGTTTTCCTTTTATTGCAGGTGCTAAGGTATATGCAGGCAGTTCCCTTTCACGGACGCGTTTTCAATGAAGCGAATCTTGGGCAGAGTTCTCTCTTGAGAGAGTCATCACACGTAACTTTGCATTCTCTGTAGCTCATCAATTGAA